GCCGTGCGCCATCGACCGTGAGACGCGCGCGCTGACCATTGAATGGTTTTTTAGCTCGTATTTCGGCCAGCACATTATTTCGGAAACAATCAAAAAGTTATAATACTTCCCATATAACAATTTTGTTGAAATTTGGTCAGCTTACGTAATAAACGTATAAATACTTATGTTCTATTGAACCTAATTTAGTTTGAGCAATTTTGATTGTCAGAATTTGAGTTATCAACGAATTTATACCTATTTTGTCATTTTTAGACCTCTTAATCAAGGCCAATCACTCCCAACTAAATTAGGTTCGGTAGTTAAGTATGATTGGAAGATTCTGACAAATTTTCAGAATGATTCATATACAGGAACCTGAGATATGACAGAATAATACGACAAAAATCAACGAATTTCGTCAAATTACGCGACTTTTACACCTAATTTTGCTCCAAAAGCCGCGCACCATAAAATATGGCATCTAGTCGATACTCACTGTAGGAGGTGCACCATAAAAATAAACTTGCTCGGATTTTAAAATTTTTTGTACCATTGTTTTCTAGAGACTGTGAGAATTTTCACAATACTAAATTTGTCATACCTTTTTTGGAAAGATCAGTGAGTTTCGCCTAGGTACCATATTTGATGGTGCGCGGCTTTTGGAGCGTAATTTGACCAAATTTGACCAAATTCGTTGATTTTTGTCGTATTATTTGGATATATCTTCAGTTCCTTGAATGAGATCATTCCAAAAATGAAAAATTGGCGAAGACCTTCCAAATATAATAGGGCTTTCGCAACTGTCCGAAAAATTTGGTGGATATCGGAGTTGATATAGTGATCAAAATGGAGCAAAATACGCTGCTTTTAGCTGTCACATAATGTCTGATGGTTGGTTATGCTTTAAACTTTTCGGACACTTTCCTTGTAAGTCTATGAGTAAGCTTACCAATTTTTGTTGCAATCGGAGGTCGGGAAGGATACTAAATATCTATTTGTTTGAAGAAAATTGTGCTGGCCGAAATTAGCGCTAAAAAACCATCCTACAGTCGGCACGCGCGGCTCACTGTCGATGGCGCACTACCTACTCACTGATCATTTCAAAAAGGTGAAACAAATTTGGTACTGTGAGAATTCCCACAGTCTCTAGAAAACAATAGTACAAAAATTTTGAAAATCCGAGCATGTTTATTTTTATCGTGCACCCCTTAGTGGTAACTAGTGTTATAGTTATCTCTTGATTCACGATGTCAATCCTTCGCAGCTCGGTGAGGCACAGTGGTGCATCTCGCCGATCTACCGTTGCGAGAAGCATTATTTGATGCGCGCGCGACCCAGTAGTGCATCGCGCTACCAAGTTATCTCCCGATTTACCGTGCTTGTCGGGGAAAGGGAGATGCATGCATATTGCATGGTCTAATGTGAGTTTTAAAGTGTATTTAATTGTTAAATTTTAACAAAATAAGTAAAACGTGACATGCGGTGAAAGAACACTGCGTATGATAAATCGGGAGGCACGATAAATTGGGAGCGGAGATGACTCGTGACTGCAACACATAAGGAATTTGACATTTATAAATGTAATTTGCACTATAGGTTGGACTGCACGGGATCGGACCCCTCAGTTTCAGTTCATTGTTTCACTGAGTTCATCGGGTTAAGCACTATCCAAATCTATAGTGCGAAATTTATTTATAGCCATATTGCCATGTGTAATCTGGCAATTTCTGATGCATAAATTGTAAAAACGACTAATATGGAATGCGCATTGAATTGATTGCTGGGCTCTGGGTGTGTGTGCGCGTGGTTGTTATTATGATGCGTTGAGATCAGCTACGTTGATGATATGTGAATGTGCGTGTTATGCGTGTTGTGCTGATAAGGCTTTAATTGAGCGATGGCTAACGTTCAACTGAGCGTTGCGTCTTACAGGGTAAGAGCACTAATAACTTTTAAAGATTTCGATTCAACCTTAAATCCAAAACTTGATATTTAAGTTTACTACTGCGAATACAGCTCGATATTTTTCTACAAATGCTGCAATATTACACAGGTGATTACATTTTGATATCCTTACAATCCTTTGAATTGTAAAACAAAAGGTGCCGAACTGTACGTATTTTTTACGACTTTTGTACGAACTGAGCAGCTATGCTCTGTGTAAAACATTGCAGTTCGATATTTCCTGAGGGTAAGAGCACTATATACTACTAGGTGTGTTCCTTTGTCCAGTCAGGTCTATTCTTTGTAATCGAGGGATCATAATACATCGGGTGGGGCGCTGATTTAGACTTGAGAATCCGTGGAAGAGGCGATCGGATCAAAATTCTCGACGCCACGTTCTGATCTTCTAAATGGGCGGACTGCAGTGAATAGAATGATGCGATGCCCTGCCTAAGAATAATGATCTGTCACGCGGAGTCAAGTTGTGATCGAGTATAACAACAACACTGAAATCGTTAAGGATTCTGATCTAAACCAATCCTCAGGATTTGTTTTGTTTAGTTAGTTCGACAGCTGGTTGGCTTCGCTAGGTCACGTGGCTTGAGGGTAACCCGTGAGTGCCCAGTTTATTTAATGCGTGATACTCGCGCGTCTAGGTAGGTTATAAGCCTACAACCTGATGATGAGCTCAGTTTCTCAGCGGTCACATAAAATTTGATGCTTTACTCTCTCCCTTCCTCCTTCTCTGTCAGCAAAACCAATTTTAAAAGTTTAACCCATCCCTGGCCCAGTGGCCATTTCACATCATGTGGTCTCTTATCTATCTGATGTAGAAACTAATACACCACAACGCTTTCTTTTGCCGAAGTTTCCAATTCGTTATATAGGTGAGGTACATCAAGAAATTTTGTAATCCTTGCCATCCTTTGTTAAAGCAATACCACTCTGTGTAACTCATCTCAGTTCGCTATATTTCCTAACAGCACTGTGTGTTCCTTTATTCAGGCGGGTTTAATCGGTCTTCATAACTGCACTCAGACAATTTCAGCCTCTTCCTCAATAAATCGGGAGGGGGGCGCTACTGACTGGAGGATCCCTGGATGAGGCGTTCAAGATTCTCGACGCCGGTCCCGGGTCCTGATCACTTAATGGGCCGAATGTTGTGAATAGAATGACGCGGTTATATAGGAAACGATTAAAACTCACGTAAAATCTCTTGTGTGCTCCCTCGGTAGGTTATGAGCTTAGTTTCTCAACGGTCACATAAAATTTGCTGCTCTCTCTCTCCCCCTTCCTCCTTCTCTATCAGCAATGCCATGTCATGTTGTGGTCCAATGTCTATTTACTGTAGAAACTAAAATACCAATGGCCGAATTTCATCAAACCGTTTTTCGAAAAACCAATTAACTGAGGCACAATAAGCGTGCCTGCAACCTCAAAACGATTTTGGAACATCGTTTGCCAGGTGTTTCATAGTTATAAGTAAAATCCTCCAACTACCTTATCGGACCTTATTTGGACGGACATTACTTGAACGCTGGAGGCCCTAGCGTTCACCTTAATGTCCGTTCAAATAAAGTCCGTTCAATTAATATCCGTCCGAGTTAAAGTCCGTTGAATTTTTTCAAAAATTTTTCCATTTCGAACTTTTTGTCCAGAATATGACAACTTTTAAATTTCAGTCAATTTCAATAGCTATCATTAGACTAAACAATATCGTTGAATCAATAAAAACAAGGTATTATAAAATTTTAACAATCTGAATTGTAAATATTTGATACATGTTACGCCTTCGGCGGCGTTACGCCTTCGGCGGCGCGCGCTTCGCGCGCGAAAAGTGGCATGCAACGTATGTCAAGTAAATATTACATTATTGCATGATAACTATCTTGAAGTTGATCTTCGGCTTCTTCTACCTGACTCCACATTTTATCTTACAACTGGTTGTCTGTCCAACTCGTAGTCGTACCGGGCAATGAATTGCCCAGCACTAAACAGATTTGTGCTGGGAAAGCTCCACGTGATGTTAAGGTTAACCTAAAGTTGTCTAAGATAAAACCAAGCTTCACGCCGAAAAGCTTGTAAAAGTTTACACTGAAATGCAGGACCGAGGTAGTTTGATAAAAAAATGGTTTCCAAAAAGCAGGTATTCGTATTACTGATGCTATTAAGCATGGAATATTTAATGCACGAAAACCCATTTGATGAAGACGGTATGCGATATTAGATAATGATCATGTACACATAATTTAACATTTTTACTGATTAAAGGCTGCTTTTCTTGCTTACTGTATGAAAAATGGATTTAAAAATTATTTGCTAAAACTAAAAAAACGTCAAAAAAAGATGAACAAAAATTCGGATTTTTGATGGTTTTGATTGCCTTCTAGCGTTCATATTAATGTCCGTTCATAATTATGTCCGTTCAAGTAATGTCCGTCCAAATAAGGTCCGATAAGGTATTATACAAATATCACTCGTTAACTACATGGGTTGGTTTAACTTCATTTGTCACTAATTTTAACGGTTTAATTGTACTTTGCAGCAGCTCGCGCCATTTTACGGCCTGGCTGGGCGGCTGGCTGCAATCCCTGTCTGCGGTTCTCTCTTCAAGCTTCATGAGCGAGCAATAGACTGCTGACTAGCAAGCTAGGTAAGCACCATTCGGCAGCAAAAGAAGGCTCTATCCATTATATTAGCTCGGCAGTCCTATTTAGTCAATGCCATAGTAGTTAGTACATTCACATAGCCATGTGTCTACGCGTACTGCGTGACGCGCTTAATTACTGCAAGTGAGAGGGCTGGTTAGAGCAAGTTAGTACATAACCAATAACAATTTCCCGCTCATTTCTGAAGTCATATTTGTAGCTTTTTGTTCTACTAAGACGCGCGTCGAGTTAGACTTGGACTCGTCGACGCAATGCAAAACTGGGCCGCACAATAAAAATGTTGGCGCAAAATTGGTCACAACGAACGGTCACCTTTTAAGTGACGTTCTCACTTTAAGCCTTGGCCGGAGAGATTTCGTACAATACAGTATAGATTAATAATACTTAGTAGTAAAACAAGTCATCTAGCAAATATCAAAACAAATTAAGGTTATATTAACTTAAGCATTGTTTATAAAACAAGAAACTGAGCTGTAAACCTTGTAGTTTTGACTAGAGATCAAACGCCCCCTATATGCAATAGGGCCCTAAAGTAAAACGAGAAACTGCATAAACCCTTTGGCTGAAAATTTTGTCCCGATATCCGACATACCTAAACATATTGGAAAGAAGTTTTATCGGTTCTAAAGAACACATACATATAAATGTGTTGTGTGCAAATTGCTTTGAAAGCCAGGATTACCTAAAAACATACACCACTAAAATGTAAAACAGTTTGTCCATCTGAGTCAGCTGAAGGTTGTGATAACGTCATAAAAATGTGATGACGTAACCGAAATGTGACGTCATAAGGTCTATCGAACTTGAACGACGCCGCTTTCCACGAGTTTCATGAACTTGTCCCGGACATCTGCGTTTTTCAAATGCCTGAAGAGAAATGTGCATATCAGTAATTAGCACGACACTGATAAACAGAGCCCAACATCCAGGACTTATTGGTATTGTTAAATGCCTGTCAATAACATATCATTATATAATCTTCTCTATAAAAATTCTCTATAAAATTATAATTCTGATAGATTTAGAACTTTTGAGGGGTCCCGGACCCCAACCGCCAAACGGTGCCCGCAGGGCAGCCACGCCCATATTTGGTTCAAATTATTATATTCAAAAACATTTGGCGGCCAAATTTGCCGGGCATTTTGGACCAAATATGGGCGTGGCTGCCTCGCGGGCACCGTTTGGCGGTTGGGGTCCGGGACCCCCTCAAAAGTTCGGTCACCGGTCATAGTTTGTTGGTCAACTGCTATCTCGAAACCAAGTTTCACAAAAAAATCAGGGTGAACCCCCCCCCCCCCCCCCCCCCTATTAACAAAAATTCAAAATATTTGATAAAATCAATCGGGCCTCATTTAGATTACAGCATTAATTTAAAATTAAACTAAAATAAATTATATTAAAAGTAACTTACTCCTGGGCTGCAGCTGGGTCTTTCTGCATTTGTTCTAAGATGACTTGCATGGACGGGTCTTGTAAGATTTGCTGGATCTCAGGATCGTTCATGGCGAGTTTAGCCCTGAAAACAATAATAAGTTACTATAAGTAAACCATGAAGAGAAATATCACGATGGTTAGGTCAACTTATAACAGACTTCATAATATACGTGTAGATCTACATTCTACGGCGTGTGCAGTGAACAGTGTTATCCGCTTCTACTCTTAATTTTGTTGAACGTTTCTTGTCAACTTACTTCTTTTAAACGGAGAATACTTTTCTACTGATCCAAACGTCACTTCGCAGGTTACCGCAGTTTTAATAAATTTAAAATTAACAAGTAAGTTTAAAATTTAACGATTATATTTATTATAGGCTGCAGCTATATTCTGTTGCCGCACATTAAGCCATGCTGAGTTTAACCTATACTTGCTCACATTAACCTATACTTGCTCACATTAACCTATACTTGCTCACATTAACCTATACTTGCTCATTTTAACCTATACTTGCCCACATTAACCTATACTTGCTCATTTTAACCTATACTTGCCCACATTAACCTATACTTGCTCATTTTAACCTATACTTGCTCACATTAACCTATACTTGCTCATTTTAACCTATACTTGCTCACATTAACCTATACTTGCTCACTTTAACCTATACTTGCTCACATTAACCTATACTTGCTCATTTTAACCTATACTTGCTCACATTAACCTATACTTGCTCATTTTAACCTATACTTGCCCACATTAACCTATACTTGCTCATTTTAACCTATACTTGCTCACATTAACCTATACTTGCCCACTTTAAGCTATACTTGCTCACTTTAACCTATACTTGCTCATTTTAACCTATACTTGCTCACATTAACCTTGCCTTCTTTAATCTAGCACACAATAGATTTCAGTTGTGTGTAACACTGCCTTGTGTAGCAATATACCAAGGAAACAGACAGATTACAACAGTAGAAAATAAGAGCTAACGTTTAACACCAACCCGAGGAATTCTCTAGAAAAGCTCTCTTCTCTCTCCCTTCCTTGGAGCCGAGTAAATGGCTCCTGTCGCTTCCCTGTTCTTAGGGGACAGAGGGATAATGGTCATTAGTCCTAGCGAAGGTTGTATGAGGTCTGCTGTGCGCCGCGTTCACGATAATCGGTGTAAAACAATAGAGAGGGAGGAGCAGTTGAATAACGCATTTCTCTCCAGCAAGCTAGCGGGTAATCCTCAATGCTGCTCAGTTCTCGTTTGTATTTTTCAGTAAAGCTGCTCCAGCAGCAATCTGCATTGTTACAAGAATATTTTGGGGACATGGCGCAATTCTGTTTTAAGATTGTTAGATTCGGATATTTTATTGGTCAAAGCTTTGGTCTGATTGGTTAATAGCTGTCACGTTACAACGATTCGTGCATGAATTCATTTTTGTGTATTTTTGTGGCAAAAATTTTAAAACTTGCACATAATTTCATATAGAATGTTGAGAGAACAATGAGAATGAATATCTTTCTGATGTCACTTCTTATCGTCGGAGCTTCTGCTGATAACGAAGGTAAGGCTGATAATCGTGTAGGTTTAATGCTTAACATAGTTTTAATAACTTACAAGAGAATGGTGTTTTATTTGCCCCTATATTGGGTGTCTCAGTTACTATTTTGTGTTATTTCGTGCACTTAATGTGATTATTCGTGTTTAAATGAATAGTCATTATTTAATAGTTAACACCACAATTTTGTTTTGAAAATCGCCATTTGAAACTATTATGATCACAATTTGTTGACTAAAGGCAAACCACAAGTTTCATTGTGAAAGTCATGGTTACAAATTACTAAGTTATCTTTCATTAAATAAAGTAAAATCACACAGGTTGGATACCGCCAATCCTTGGTGTTTGGCTAGATTACGATCTGCCTAACAACCCAATAGAGATCAGCACTGATAGCACTCCAGGGAGTGGTGATATAATGTGGCTGGACACACGGAATGCACAGGATAAACTTGCTGGAGGAATCATAGTGAAGTTCCTCGATCCCGTTGTATGGATATTAAACGACTGCCGAGTTAATAGGTATCATCCCTTCCCAACCAATCTGCCCGATGCTACCAACAATGTTTGGAGGATAACAATCATCAAAGATTCAGGCACTAGATTGGTCATTCACTGTAACGATATTGAGGTGCTTGACTTCACAGCGTCAGATTCAGAGTGCGAAGCTACAACTTGGAGAGATACCTTCGACAAAGACATGGTGAAGATAAAGTTCGGACAAGCCGACAGGGCAACTGATAAATACAGACCCTACAAAGCTAAAGGTGACTAGAAAGTGGTCTCACGAAGACTGAAGAGTTCAATTTTATTATTTCATCATCAGCCACAATAAAAGAAGAAAACCTTTGTCTCTTAGACCACTATTTCCTTCCGTCTTTTAATGCTATTTTTATTTTTATTCCTTAAAAATTTTCCGCTTCAGAATTTTTATGATTTATCCCAAGATTTGGCATTAAATTGACCATAATATATCAAATTTGACAAAATCGAACAGTGATCAATTTCAGCCAAGTGCGCGAGTTTTGACTCAACATGGACGAACGTACGAACAGATCCAACACTACCAGTCACACACGGAGTAGAGATAACACTCACGTGTCCTAAAGACTACACCAACAAGGGAAGTGACAAAGCAACTTGTCAGGACGGAACTTTTGTCCCAACTGGTCAATCTCCTGATTGTGGTGGTGAGTTTAGTGTTGTCTATAAACCATATGATTGACGGACTTGCCTTTCAGAGAAAATTTTCCGCTTCAGAATTTTTATGATTTATCCCAAGATTTGGCATTAAATTGACCATAATATATCAAATTTGACAAAATCGAACAGTGATCAATTTCAGCCAAGTGCGCGAGTTTTGACTCAACATGGACGAACGTACGAACAGATCCAACACTACCAGTTGCACACGGAGTAGAAATAACACTCATGTGTCCTGCAAACTACACCAACAAGGGATTTGACAAAGCAACTTGTCAGGACGGAACTTTTGTCCCAACTGGTCAATCTCCTGATTGTCGTGGTGAGTAAATATTATGCGATAGATGATAATTTGCTGTTATGATTTCGATACTACTGAGAGTGAGACTGTTCAAAAATGTCGAGTACTGTTTAATTTCCAAAGTACACCATCAGTACACCATCGACTATGTATTTTAAGTGATCAAAAGTGCTGCTATAAAATGTAATATTTGATTTTAATGATTGCTATTTAAGAGAGTTGCAATAGACTAAAAGAAGAGTGGACAGCAATCAAGACAACGACACAGTTCCCAGTAGACGCAGGAACAGTGGTGGAAGTAACGTGTGCTGTCCCTGGAGCTCTCCAAGACGGAAGCAGTGAAGTGACCTGCACCCTGGGGACAGAATTCACTTTCTTAGAAGAACCATCCTGTTTTAGTCCAGGTATAACCTTACCCTTACCCTTACCCTCACTCAGTACCCTTACACTCACCCAGTACCCTCACCCAGTACCCTCACCCAGTACCCTCACCCAGTACCCTCACCCAGTACCCTTACCCTTGCCCTTGCCCGAACACTAATCCTCCTCTCGTCTACAAATAACCAAGATATCATATTAACACACAGTCTAAAATTAGAAAAGGTTTTTAGCTGTGAACATCACCAAGATAACAGAAACACAGATATTTGCTGACATGGTATATCGTGGTTAACAGGTGAATAAAACAACATCTTAAACTTCATTTTCAAATAAATTCATCGACATTTGCAGTCATTTTTTTAAATTTTAGGTTTTTTTCCTCCTAACACTTACTTCAACACATGCAGCTGTTTTTAACATGAATTAAAATACCCAAAAGAGTATTCCAATAATTTACCAAACTTAGTTCTCATATAATTTTGCACTACTTTAACAGTTTAATAATTAATAGTGTGTATTTCAGATTATATCCAACTTTACGTCAGATGTGAGTATACAGTAAAAGTTTTTTTAAACAAGAAAAGTAATTTATAATGTGATATACACTCAGCTTCTTTAAATTACGATATTTCAATAGTTTCTTGATAAAATCTTTCATGTTGACAGTCATTGCATCTGATTATGTTTGTATTTCACTTTGAATATTTCAGGGCAGTGTCACGGTGAAGAATTCCCTTCCCATCAGCCTATATTCATGATATTGGTAACCTTATAATCACCCTTCAGCAGTTGTAACTTTGTAATAATACTCAACTAATGCAGTTTAAGTAAAAATTAACTATCAGAAAGGCGAACTGATTGATTTAAATCTTTCAAACTGTTAATACTGTTCGGTAATTTCAATTTTTATGTATTTCGGCGTAAATCTCTTTCACCTTTTCAGAAACAAACGAAGCTCCAAACGCTACGAATGAGACTTCGATAATTATACTCAGCTCAAGCTCAACATCATTAAGAAGCATACTACTACTACTACTACTATGTCGGAGCTAAGTCCGATCTACGCCAGAAAACCCCTCATATATCCCTGTCCCGCATCAGGGTTCGCAGTTCCTCTTTAGAGTTTGTCCAACTTCCTTCAGTAACATAGACAAGTAGCTTTGTCTTGGTCGGCCTTGCTGTGCTCTACCGTGCGTAGGTTCCCATAAGACTAAATCACAAAGAAGCATTATTCAATCAAAGAAGCATTATTCGTTCAAACCCCCCCCCCCCCCACCCCCAGTCAAGGTCAGTGGTTCGAAATTAACATATTATTTCTTCGATGTTGTGATGATGATGAATAATTCGGAAAAGAATGCAATCTAGCAATTTTCTTATCATGATCCTTCATTAACTGGTATATTTATCTAAAATGTTTGAAGTTGCTCCACTGTATGAAATGCAGATTTTTATAAGGAATTTATTTTTCAGTGTGTCAAGAATCAAGATATATACGATTAAGGCACAATTTCGGAGCTTAGAGACAGGATCTTACCAAGTAAGTTCCACATTAAATTTAACTCAATCTTATTTCACTTTCTGTAGCTTATATTACTAAAAAACCGTAAATTCTTAATCTGTGATTATATGCTCTTAGTGAATACT